TTTTTTTTTTTTTTTTTTTTTTTTTTTTTTTTTTTTTTTTTTTTTTTTTTTTTTTTTTTTTTTTTATTGGTTTCATTTATTTTATTTATTTTATTTGTTTTATTTTTTTTTTATTTTTTTTATCTTTTTTATTTTTTTTTGTTAGAATAAATTAGTAAAATACATGTTTTTATTTAGGTAATATAGATATATTATATAGAAATATATTTTTATATTTATTTTATTAATTTTTTGTGTTTTGTTTTAAATAAAAATAAATAAATAAAATAAATATTTTTGTTTATATAATATGTATATATATATATATATATATATATATATTATATAGAAATATGTTTTTATATTTATTTTATTTTTTTATTTAAAACAAAACACACAAAAACAACAAAACAAAAAAATACAAAAAGATAAACACAAACAAATTAATTAATTAATCGAGATATAAATAAATAAATAAACAAACAAACAAACAAAAATAAATAAATAAATAAATAAACAAACAAAAAAATAAATAAATAAATATATAAACAAATAAATAAAGTTGTATAACAATGTGTTCTATCATAAAAAATAAATAAAAAAGATAAAACAACAAAACAACCAAAAAAATGAATCTAGAGAAAGAGACAAAGCCAAATAAACAAACAAAAAAACAAAAAAATAAATAAATAAATAAATAAATAAATAAATAAATACCTGTTTAAGTTTGCGGTGTACAGCGTTGAGTTGTATAGCAATTTGTTCTATCACAAAAAAATAAATAAAAAAGATAAAACAACAAAACAACCAAAAAAATGAATCTATAGAAAGAGACAAACCCAAATAAACAAACAAAAAAACGAAAAAACAAAAAAATAAAAAAATAAAAAAATAATAAATAAATACCTGTTTAAGTTTGCGGTGTACAGCGTTGAGTTGTATAGCAATTTGTTCTATTATATAATCCCCAAACCGCGGCGTCATAAAAAAAAGTAAATCTCCAGCAGTAAGAGAAAGCAAACGCCGCAGTTCATATAAACTCGATATACCTATACTTTTAAACAAACTGCAGCAGCAGCAGCAGCAGCTGCTCAGGCGATAGCAGAAGCAGCGGGAGATGCAGCAGCAAAAGCTAGAGAAGCAGCAGCAGCAGTATGTAGTGTTGTTGTTACTGCAGCAGAAAGTGTTGTTGCAGCAGCAGCAGCAGCAGCAGCAGCAGCAAGTGTTTTTGTTGCAGCAGCAGCAGTATTTTTGTTGTTGCAGCAGCAGCAGCTTCAATACGTGCTATTGCTGCAGCATCAACAGCAGCACCAGCAGCAGCAACAGCCGCAGCAACAGCACCAGCAACACACAAGCACCACCACCACCACCA